TTTGGACATAAAGAATTAGAATTTACCATATGCAAGACAGAAGGGATAGAAGAATGTTCAAGTGAAATGGCAAAAGGAAACACATCTTCATAGAATAAAATATCTCTAGATACATATACCCTCTTTGTGGCTAGGTCCAAGACCTTATATCCTTTCATCCCAAAGGGATACCCTATAAACACATGAGGAGTAGCCCTTGGTTCAAATTTGTCTTTGTGTGTCTGGAATGTGGTGGTGTAACATAAGCAACCAAAGCTTTTAAGGTGTGAGTAGGTTGGTTTTCTGTTATAAAGAAGCTCAAAAGAGCATTTATTTTTTAGGACTATGGAGGGTAATCTGTTTATCAGATAGGTGTGTCACGACCCAGAACTCCCACCTTCGGGATCGTGATGGCGCCTAATATTTCACTTGCTAGGCAAGCCAACGTTAGAATAGTTCTTAGCCATTTTTAATAATTCAAATTAACTGATACTGAGTAAACTGAATAAACTGAAATAGAGTGAGAAAATCCATAATAACAGCGATATCTACATACAATTCCAGAACTGGTATTACAAGTGCACGAGCGACTAGAATAATACAGATAATGGTCTGAATGAAAGTAAAACTGTCTGAAATAAAATAAACAACTAGGATAAGGTAGAAGGAGACTTCAGGGATGCGAACACCGAGAAAATATACCTCAAGTCTCCGTTAGGTAATCAATTCGAACAATCTACTGACCGCTGCTAGGACCGACTCCAAAATATGTACAAGAAGTGCAGAGTATACTATGAGTACAACCGATCCCATGTACTCTGTAAGAGCCGAGCCTAACCTCAACGAAGTAGTGACGAGGCTAAGGTGGGTCACTTACAATAAACTGTACGCAGTATAATAATAATAACACGAAAGAAACGCAGGAAAAATAAGGCAGTTAACTCATGGAAATAAGCGCAATCCTCAAAATCAGTAAAACCAGAAATATCATTCCTCAGAATCTCGTACGAAAACATTGAAAGCTAATACAATGCACAATGAATACCAAACACACAATCCGTTGCCTTGCGCAACCCGATCCCACCGTACAAACACAATTCTCCCTTATTTCACCATATCAATATGAAGAATAACATGTAAAATTTATTGCGGCACAACCCAATCCCACCATATAATCAGCATCAATATCACAATCCTCCCTTATTTTACCATATCAAAATCACATGTAAAATCCGTTGCGGCGTGCAACCCGATTCCACCATATCAATATCAATCCTCCCTTATTCCACTTGTTGCGGCGTGCAACCCAATCCATAAATAAAATTAATAAATGTAAGCAATTCAACATCTCAATTCACAAGAATCTCGACAATTAATGAATATGAAAACAAGCCATAAAGCGACCTCGAACAAAATCAAGGATTACTACAATTAATACAAAGCAACAAGACAAGTCAAATATATAACAATTAAAGTGTACAAGTAAGACAATTAAGTCAAGTATCAATTAATCAAGGAAGCATGAAATAAAGAAATATTTTAATATGAGAGAAATAAGTGACAAGTAGCAAGTTAGGTATAGGAAGCAATTAAAGCATGTAACAATTAAGACATGGAATAAAATAAGTAATGAAATATGGGAAAGCATGGAAAAAAGTATTTTGACGGTGTATATACACTCGTCACCTCGTATATACGTCGCTACACATGTAATTCACATAGATCATAACTCAAGGGTTCCTAATTCCCTCAAATCAAGGTTAAACCCAACAGTTACCTCGCTCCGCAAACAAATCAAAGCTCAACCGAGGCCCTTTCTCTAAAATTTACCTCTAAACCAATCGAATCTAACCAAAATCGACTCAATAACATCAAACAATGCTAGAGAAATCATTTACAATACATAAAGTTAAGATCTTTACACTTTTCTCAACAGTCAACAAAAGTCAACCCCATGCTCGCTTGGTCAAAACTCGAGATTCGGACTAAAATTCAATTACCCATTCACCCCTAGCCCGATTATGTAATTAGTTTCGATATCCGACCTCAATTTTGAGGGCCAAATCTCAATTTTACAAAATCCACCCAATTCTTTCCAAATTCCTAATTTTCTACCATGAAAGAACATAGATTAAGGTTAGAAACTAATGGGTGTTGATGAAAATGGAAGAAAACGAGTTAAAGTACACTAACCTATGAAGTGGTGGTGATATTTCTCTTTAAAATCGCCTCTAGGCCAAGCTCTAATGAAAATATGGTGAAAAATGGGTGAAATTCTGTCTTTGGGATATTTAATAGACTGGGCGTCAGGTGTTCATCGCGTTCGCGGGATACCTGACGCGTTCGCGAATAGCACTTCCCAGATGGCCATTGCGATCGCGACAAAATCTACGTGTTCGCGTAGTCTTATCCCATCTTGCCGTCGCGTTCGTGACCTTGGGCTCGCGTTCGGGTAGAGTAAATGTTCCATTCCCAGTAACCCCCCTCCTATCACTACACGTTCGCGGAGGAAAGGCCGTGTTTGCAAAGGGTAGACCCCCCACTGCTCCACGTTCGCGTCCATCTGCTCGCCTTTGCGATGGGAAATTCCTCCCCAGTCCCAAACTCTTCGCGATCGTGGGTGTATCTTTGCGATCACGAAGAAGAACACACTAGGCACTAGCAGACTCCAAAAACCAACAATGTTTCTAAGTTCAAAATGGTCCATAGCCTATCCGAAACTCACCTGAGCCCCTCGGATTCCAAACCAAATATGCACACAAGTGTAATAACATTATTCAAACTCGCTCGTATGATCAAAATATCAAAATAACACCTAGAACTATGAATCAGATACCAAAGCAATTAAAATTTTCAAAGAAACTTAAGAACATGAAATTTTACAACCGGACATCTGAATTATGCCAAATCAACTCCATTTTGAACCAAATTTTGCAGACAAGACATAAATACATAAATGGACCTATACCAAGTTCTGAAACCAAAAGAATCCAGTAGCAACAAAATCAACCTACGGTCAAACTTAGGAATTCTTTAAACCTTTAAATTGCTAGTTTTCAACAAATTATGTTAAATCAAGTTAGGAACTTCCGAATTCAATTTCGAGCATACGTCCAAGTCTCAAATCACGATACGGATCCACCAAGACTATCAGAACACATATCCGGGTTGTTTATATAAAAACGTTGACCATAGTCAACTTAAATGAGTTTTAAAGTACAATTTTATATTTTCATCAATTTTCTCATAAAACCTTTCTAGAAAGGACACAGGATGCGCATGCAAATTGAGGAAGGCTAAACAGAGCTATTCAAGGGCTCGAACAACAGAAATAAAGGATAAAACTATAAATGATCTATCGGATCATCACAAGGTGGCAGTTAGGATACACTCTCCCAATATCTCATTGGTAATTTGGATTGATAAAGTAAGGCCCTAGCAGTTTCTAGTAGATATTTGTATTTTCTTTCTAGCACACCATTCTGTTATGGTGTGTATGGGCAGGTTTTATGGTGAATTATGCCTTTGTCTTGAAAAAGTATCATGGCCTCACTATTTATAAATTTCAACCCATTATCAGATCTAACAGCTTTGACTGAAGAGTTGAACTGGTTTTCAATCATAAAAATGAGGGCTTTAATGGCTTGAAAGGTGTTGCTTTTACTGCTCAGAAGGTGTGTCCAGGTTGATCCGCTAGATTCATCAATCATGGTAAGAAAATATTTGTAGTTATCATGTATGGCTATGTGATAGTGGCCCCATAAGTCTATGTGTAAAAGTTAAAAGGTTTTGGTAGTGGATGATGTTTCTGGGAAAATGGTAGTTTTGTCTGCCTTGCGATGGGGCAGGCCGAACAGAGAAAAGGTTGTTTGGGAGAAAATTTAATAGGTATGGTAGAGATCCTTCTCATTCTCACCAAGGGTACATGACCTAGTTTGTTATGCCACAGATGTTCAACGTTGTCCCCATGATGCAATAGATGACAGAAAAGAATTCATACCAAAGGAGGAGTCCGTTTTACTACTTGAATGAAGGCTATCTACATTGTTGAGTGAATGCGGTGATTTATTTACAATTGACAATGAAATGTAAAGGCAAATTGTGACTCTCTCCTCTATTTAGAATATCAACTAATGCAAAAAAGCAGGAATGAGAATAAAGAGTGGCAGAAATAGAAGATATACTAGACTCTGGACAATTGTGATACATTGAGCATAAGAAGTACAATCACCCCTTGCTTTACCAATCTCCAAAGGCCTCTTCATTATAATGGCCTGCATCATACAAAGATATTTGTTGAAATTAACTATGAAATTGAGGTGGTCTGTTAAAGAGTGAATAAAGATGAGGTTGTACTTGAAACTAGGTACATACAACACTCTGACTAAAGTTAACATTGGACCAAGAAATGCATCCCCAATTTTTGTCACTTTCACCCTATATCTATTAGGTAATGTAACTAGAAAAGGATAAGATAAGGTTCTAATGTTATTCAGAAAAGATTTTCTATAGGTCATGTGATTTGAAGCCCCAATATCTAATATCCACAAGTCAATAACTAATTTAGAGCATTTACATACAGTGGTCTCAACAATCTCTTTATAAGTAGAATAAGCTAGAATACATGTCAAGTTTGTAGCTCAACAAGCTATGTTATTTGAGCTTTCCCCTATTTTTCTTCCTGGAAATTTCTCCAACAGGCTGAGTAGTTGATTGTATCGCTCCTTTGTCAAGTGCTGAAATCCTTGATCATGAGTTACACCTTCAACCACTTCACATTCTGTATGAACATTTGTAGCAGATGTTGTATTCCTCCCTTTTATGAACTTGAAATCCAGTGGAAAGCCATGTATTCTGTAGAAATTATCCCTGGTGTGCCCTGGCTTTTTGCAGTAGTCACAAAAATTGAGACTTGGCAAGTGGATTGCTTGGCTTGTTCGAATTGTATGAGTTGTGGGCAGTACCATTTTCTCTTTGATTGCAATTTCTCCTAAACTTGTTATTCCCAGGTTCATTTACATTCAATGAAGAGACTCCATAACCAATTTGTTTCTTGGCCCGACTTCTCTATGCTTCTCTTCTTGAATGAGAATGGTAAAGGCTTGTGATATACTGGGTAGTGGATTCATCATAGGTATGTTGCCTCTCACTACTGTGTAGACTTCGTTTAAGCCCATTAGGAACTGAATCAACCTTCGATTATGCTCAACCTTGTGCATGTTAGCCTTTGCTCCACAAGTACATTGACAATTGCACTGCGCATATGCATTCAGGTTATTCAATTTCTCCCAAAGTCTTTTTATTTCTGTGTAATGCCGTGTGATGTCCAAAGCCCCTTGGATAAGGTCGTTAATTTCCTTCTGCAATTGATACAAATTTGCTCCATTAGTTTGATCATATCTATCTTCTAGTTCTTGCCATAATTTCTTGGCATCACCGACATATTGTAGACTATCAGTTAGGTCTTTTGAAAGTGAGTTTAGGATCCACGATGTGACCATGTCATCCCATCGAGCCCACTGATCATAAGTTGTATCATCAGTATTAGGTTTCTTACATTTTCCCGTAATGAATCCAACCTTGTTTTTCATCGATAATGCTCTGAGAACTCCTCTTCTCTAAGATCTATACCCAGTTCCATTGAAGGCAACATGTACCAGTGTCGTTCCGGCACTCTCCGACGGGTGCATGCACATCGGGTTAGTCGATTCCAAATTTTTGGTCGTATTCTGAGTTTCCTTATCTACGGCCATCGATTGAGGACGAATTCTAGAAGACTAGAAGAATTAATTTTTGAATTTTAGGAGAAATCAAAAAATTTCAAAACCCTAGCAGCGAACTGTGAAATGTAGATTTTGATTTTTGCAAAACTAAAAACTGAGATTGAGTGATGAGATTTGACGAAAATGAAGAGAACACCGATGAAAAATTCGAGTTGTGCTTTGATACCATGTCGAGATTGTAACTAAAAGGATGAATCAACCTCCATTGAAGGTTGAGCTTGAGCTCTCATCGTGAGAGAAGAAGAAGCTTCTGGATAGAAAATGAAATTGGGGAAAAATAGTGTACTTTCCTATTCAGTTGAAGTAAGACTTATACACGCGAGAAAAGAGAGTAAGTAACTACTAATTACTAAACTACCCATGTAACTAACTCAACTACTAATCTCCTAAGTCTAGTAACTAACTGATATCAATATAACATAAATAAAACCAACTACACTTGATAATAATCGATAATCTCAATAAAAATGAATACAAAGGGGGATTCAACTCGACAGAAGTGCATGTTAGAAGAAAAGAGGAAATTAAGTGTAATGACTCAATCGGGCATTTTAACTTTTAGAACCCCGTTCTCTAAAAATAAAACTTCCCGTAGGTGCTTGTAATGATTTATGACTTGCGGGGATGGTTGGTTCTGGATTTGGAAGTGTTTGGGGTGAAACCGGAACACTTGGTTCCTTAAGTTGGCCTTAAAGTGCTAAGTTTGACTTCGGTCAATATTTTTAGAAAACGACCCCGGAATAGAATTTTGATAATTCCAAGAGCTCCGTATGGTGATTTTGGACTTAGGAGCGTGTTCGAAATTTTATTTGGAAGTCCGTAGTTAAATTAGGCTTGAAATGGCTAAAAATAAGAATTTAAGTTTGGAAGTTTGACCGATGAGTTGACTTTTTGATACTGGAGTCGGATTTGATAGGTTCTGACATCGAACCTAGAAGTTGAAAACTCTTAGTTTCATTAAGCTTGAATTGGGGTATGATTCATGGTTTTAGCGTTGTTTGATGTGATTTAGAGGTTCAACTAAGTTCGTATGATATTTTAGGACTTGTTGGTATATTTGTTTGAAGTCCTGAGGGCCTTGGGTGAGTTTCGGATGGTTAACGGATTAAAAGTTAGACTTAAAAAGCTGCTGCAATTTTCCCTTCTGCTGTATATTCTAGGCTGTGATCGAGTCCCAGATTGAACCCAGATATCGAGCCCACGATCGAGGCCTGAGTCGAAGCCAGGGACGAGGCTCAGTATCGAAGCCACGATCGAAGGTCCAGCTCGAGGGCCAGGATCAAGACCCAAGATCGAACATGATCGAGGCCATGACCATGTCCCAAGCTCGAGGCTTGATCGAGGCCATGACCAAGTCCCAAGCTCGAGGCCATGATCGAGGCCATGACCGAAGTCCAGGCTCGAGGCGTGTTCGAGGCCATGACCAAGTCCCAAGATCGAGGCCATGACCGAAGCCCAGGCTCGAGGGCCACGATCGAAGCCACAATCGAGGCCCAATTCCGAAGGCTGCCTGGGCAGTTTATAAAAGAGGACATTCGTCCCATTTGCCATTTTTGGCGAATGTGAGCTTGAGCAGAGGCGACTTTTGGCAGATTTTCAAGGGAAAAACATTGGGGTAAGTGAGTCTAACTCGGATTTGGTCTACATATACAAGTATATCATTGTTTTCACCATAAATTAGTGTTTTGAGATTTAAATTTGGGAAATTTTTAGAAATCTCATAGAAATGAATTTTTAAGATTTCAGTATCGATTCAGAGTCGGATTTGAGTGAAACTGGTATGGTTGGACTCGTAATTGAATGAGTTTTCGGATTTCGTAACTTTTGTTGGATTCCGAGACGTGGGCCCCACAAACGAATTTTTAATTAATTTCGGAATTTTTATTTAAAATGTAGTATTTTCTTATAGAATTGATTCCTATAATTTTTAGTGATTGTATCGAATTATTTTGGCTAGGTTCGAGTCAGACAGAGTTGGATAATCGTGAAAAAGGCCTTATAGTAGATTAAATTGGAGCAAGACGAGGTAAGTCTCTTGTCTAATCTTGTGAGGGAAAAATTACCCCATAGGGATTAAATTGAATAATTGTTACTAATTGCGGAGGCTACGTATGTACGAGGTGACGAGAGTCCGTGTGTAGCTACTATTAATGCTAAAGTCCGGATAGTTTAAGACTCAAAGCATAAATTACTTGTGTGAATTGTATTCTTTATTAATTAAAATAATTGATGTATATATTGTGAATTGTTATGAAAAGTAGAAAAATATGAAAATTTTCATATGCTTAATTTTTGTTTAAATTAATTAATTATTAAAAAAAATTATTCTCCTCCCGAATTTATCTTATAATAATTATACTCTCCTTCCGGAGGCACATAAGAAAATGTCCTCCTTTCTTGTGGAGCGGGCCGAACGCCTCGGGCAGGATAAATGCATCTATGGATCGCGCCGCACGTCCCTCGGCAGTGTACACGATACTCTGGATCGGGTCGTACGTCCTCGGCAGAAATCGTGCTTAATAATAATAATTACACGATACTTTAATAATTTATTTCAGCTTGTGAAGCTAATTAATAAATTGGAAAATCTTTGGAATTTAATGAATTATTATTCTTGCTTGTT